AAGACTTGTTCTAAATATTGAGACTTGAAGTTACAAGTACATAGTGACTTGATTTCCATTGAATCACGAGAATTAAAGAAGTTTTTGGAGCCCAAGATTCTTGGTGTAGGACAGGTGTTGGCAGACCACAGCCTGTGGGCTAAGTCCAGGTCTATACCTACCTGTTTTTGTAAATAAATAAAATTTATGTTTATCTTCTATGTTGTCAATGCCTACTTTCATATTACAGCTGTAGACTTGAATTGTTGCAACAGAGGTTATCTGGCCCATGAAGCCTAAAATATGTATTATCTGGCCCTTCGCGGGAAAAGTTTTCTGACCCCTTTATTTCTCCCCTAATCTAGGGAGAAACAAATCAATTAACCCAGGGGTCCCCAACCCCCAGGCCATGGACTGGCATGGATCTGTGGCCTGTTAGGAACCGGGCTGCACAGCAGGAGGTGAGCGGGGTGTGGGGAGCGAGCATTTCTGCCTGAGCTCCGCTTCCTGTCAGATAAGTGGCAGCATTCCATTCTCATAGGAGCATGAACCCTATTGTAAACTGCACATATGAGGGATCTAGGTTACCTGCTCCTTATGAGAATCTAATGCCTGCTGATCTGAGGTAGAACAGTTTCATCCCAAAACCATCCTCCAATCCCCTGGATCCATAGAAAAGTTGTCTTCCATGAAACTGGTCCCTCGTGCCAGAAAGATTGGGGACTGCTACATTAACCAGTAAGCAGAAATATAGTGAGTAATTTCTGTCTGGGTGAAAACTGAGTCACCACTTATGATAGTAAGGGAGGTGCTATCCAAGAAATTAGAATTGATCTTAAAGGCCTTCTCTTTAAAAGTATAATAGTATATTCATTGAGATTGCATTATGAGCACAATGCTGTCTCCATCAGAAATAAGCATTTTTTGTACTTATTGAATGCTTCAGTCATGTAGATTACTGTATATGTGGTCACCTAAACATCTTTTAAAAACTCACTTTATACATTTATTGCCCGTGTATCTCTTTGCTCTTGTAGTCCCTCTCTGCCCTACGAGTAATACTAAAAAATGAGAAGTCAGTTTAGACAGCACATCAGGCTTAAAGGACACAGAATGAAGGGAAGGTAGGGGAGGCAGGAGGTTAAAGAAGAAAATTATTCAAGAAATTTAAGTGACCTCCTTTGTTGTTGATACTTGGAGGATTAGAAAAACCCTATAGATAATTTGTTCTAGTAACCACCTCTTTCCAAGATACATGTAGGTATCTTTAGAAAAACGAATGATCTCAAGAATGCAACAGGCTGGGCTCAGTGGCTAACACCTGTAATTCCAGCACTTTGGGAGGCTAAGACAGAAGGATCACTTAAGCCCAAGAATTCGAGACCAGCCTGGGCAACATAGAGAGACCACCATTTCTACAGAAGATTTTTAAAAAGTAAGCCAGGCATGGTGGTGTGTGCCTGTAGCCCCAGCTACTCAGGAAGCTGAGGTGGGAGGATCCCTGGAGCCTCGGAGTTTGAGATTGCAGTGAGCTATGATTGTGCCATTGCACTCCAGGCTGGGTGACAGAGTGAGGCCCTGTTTCCAAAAAAAAAAAAATGTACAATGGCAGTTTCTTAGGTGAACACTGTTCTGTTCTTAAAATTCTTGACATGCTCAACTTTGTGATGTGTGGTGAGGACTTTTACTGATAGGACAAGTTAAAGAATCCCATTAATTTCCCATGTCTTCTATCAGTATCTTGTGAATGTTTATCAGAATTTGCTGTCTGCACCATTCATGGCGCTAGGCACATGCTTCAAGTATCCTTTGTCTTAAATCAGTATCCAGTTTTATTCATCTTCCTGTTTGTTGCTCATCATTTACTTATTGACCTGTAGTTGTTGTCTTGAACTCCTGGGCTCAAGCAATCCTGCCGCCTTGCCTCCCAAAATGCTAGGATTACTGGCATGAGCTACTACACCTGGCATATCAGCTTTTTGGGTATGTGTCTTTTAGAGATGCAGTCTCTTGGCCAGTATAATTTTTACAAGTCTGAAATTCCCATTTCTATTCTTGTTTATTTTGTTGAAATTGATTTTTTTCTCCTTAAGTTATAACAGAGGCATTCTGTCAGATATAATTAATTGGTCACAGTTGAAACATGATGAGATATGTCTTAGTTTGTAATCCAAATTCATGTGAGGAGGACATATTTCTTTGATCTGATTTCTTTTCTGTTTATTAGAAAAAAATAGTATTGAAGTATTTTTCTTAATGCAGAATAATATTAAAATAGGGGTATTGTAACGGCACGTTTTTACTTTGGATCTAAAGTTTAAATATGATGGTTTTAATCTCAAAAGAAATAGTAAAATTGCTATGTATGCCAAGAAAACTTATATAAATTTAACATAATCTTTATAAACCAATAATAATATATACTTATTTCTGATTGATTATTTTTTAATCTGCCTTCAGTAGGTTATATTAGCCCATTAAAATACATCTTTAGTGTAATTTTTTTCTGATGTGTTTATCTTCAAAGTAAAAGTTGGTACTTCTAAAGTGCTGTAAGTTGCCAAACTCAAAGATAAAAGAGGGACATAGAATTGTGCTTTTGGAGTGAAGTTGGGACTACACCATGAAGCCTTATTAAAATGTTAGTTTGTTCTGACAAGTGCCATGAGTATTTTTAAGAACCTGAACATGCTTCTAAAGTTTAATAGACAGACAAAAGCCCCTTAAGGAAAAAGAAAAGCACTGTTGAAGTCATGTACTTCTGTTCAAATCATAGCCTCCCTTTTAGACATATTTTAAGCCTCTGCTTAAATTTTTACATTTTATTACTTGTTAGCATTTTGCATAGAATCATTCAGAGTTGTAAATTTAGGTAGTAATAGAACTACTCAATTTTTTCAACTCTCTGTCTAGAAAAGCTTTTGTTTTTTTACATTCTTTATGTTTATTTAAAACACAACTATTTCTATATAAGTTTAATACTAGATATTTATACCTAAAAGACAACATGGTAGTATAGTGATATCATATTCTTTTACTGTTTCATTTGAAAATTACAAAGATAATATCTTCAGCTTGTTTTGTTACAGGTACATATTATTTTTAATATACCAAGAACAGAACTTAAATGTTAATAAAAATCCTTTGGAAAGCTTAAATGCTGAGAAATACTGTAACAATTTAAGTTCTATTGAATACAGAATTAACATTTTAAAAATATGTATAAATTACATTATGACAGTACATTTATGCAATTGGTTTTTACTGAGTTTCACACTCAGTAACCAAGCCCTCCCTGTTCTTCGTTAATCTATGATTTAGTCATTTAATGTAGCTTAATAATAATTCTGCATTTATGCAATCCATGATTTTGACCAGGTAGTTCTTTTTTCTTTTAATGTAAGTTTATTATAATAGCACGGCTAATCATTGATTATCCAATAAATGAATACAGAAAAGAGAATTAAGAAGTATAATTTAAAAATTTTTAATTTTAATTGAGTCAGTATTTTTAATGTTTTTTCAGTAGCAACTTCTGTAACTTACCCTACCACTTTAAAAAAAGCTTTCAGTGACACATCTGAAAAGTAGACAAGTTGACAGCTTGTATAATTTCATTTTAGCTCATTAATCTAGTTTCTATTAGAGGTGCTAAGGATGAATGACTTATGATTAAAAGACGGGGGGTAGGGGAGTCTTAAATAATTTACATGCTAAATCACCTTGGAAAAAGACAGCAAATGAACTCAGCATTTCACAGAAAACTTTTTTTTTTCCCTAACTTATCTCGAGTATATTATTCTGACACACAAAAAAAATGTGGCTACAGTAAACACCGTAACTTTCATGATTCATAGAATGTATTCAAATAATTCAAATTGTTAAAGTATTTTATCTTCTAGTTCTAGTCCTTTTAAAGAATGAAGTAATACTTGAGATATTCTATAAACCCTTGGTCATATTAGTACATTATGGGTTCCTTTTATTAGCATTTTTTTCAAGTATTTAACTTAAATAAAAAATCCCGATTGCACACTCTTTGCATTGTAGGCATGGGAAAATCTGACTTTTAGCCTTGCCATCAAGTCAACATTGTCCTTTAAGATTCCTATTGTTAACCTCATTAATTCCAGCTAATAAAATAAAAACCTCATAAATACTCAAACAATACTCTGGACTAGACAAAATGGTTGCAGAATTATATACCTCATTTCATTGCCTTCATGGAAATTTATATTAATTAATTTATGCTCCCTCTTCATCACTGATATGGCTACCATAGATCCTCAAAGGGGAAGAATACATCTCAGGAAGTATGTGGAGTTAAAAATTTCATTATTAGAAATCATTTTATATTATAAAGTTCATCTTAAGAGAATTTAAAAAACTATATTCATTTGCAACCAATATGACTTCTAAACCTTTTACTAGTTTCATAGTGATATTTGGCTGTAGCAATTGCTATTCCTAAATTTTTCATAGAACTCTTATGGTAGAAACATACAAGAAGTAATGTTCATTAAATAATATAATTATCACCAACAACACTAGCTCTTTCAATTCATTGACCTTTATTAGATACTTTGGAAAACACAGCTCAAGAGGCAGTCACACAATTTTGTGGGCTTGTAGTTTAGTGATCCCAAACTTAAGCTTTGCAAATGCCTGCTCACTTGCTTCAAGTAGTCGCCAGGTGACTTTTAACATTATATTCATTCATATGATCACTTGAATAGAGAAGGTGCTGTGGGAAAAAGAAAAAAGAGATTGGTTTTGCAAAGCTGACTTGAGTCCCTTCCTTAATACCTGATTGTGTATGTTGACATTTTACCCTACTGTCCAGCATTCCTTTTTAACTCACATCATGCTGAATTACATGTAGATTATTGTTTTAAAAATATTTTTGAAAAAATGTTACAGTGTATTTTCTTAAGATGTAAAAACTTACGAAATTTAGCATATCTTGAAGGAAAAATTCTGAGTATTCTAATGGCTTTTTAAAATAATCATTTATTTGCTAGGTAAGTTCTCTTCTACGCTGTATGAGACTGGTGGCTGTGATATGTCACTTGTGAATTTTGAACCAGCAGCAAGAAGAGCATCCAATATCTGGTATGTGTGAAGTCACATTAGGAACATGTGTACTTTCATATGTTTGCCATGTTTAATGTTTTTAAGCCTAGAACTCTAAAAGTTAATTTTTTTGTTTTTATGATTTTTTTAATGTTTCTGATTGACAAATAAAAATTATAAATACTTATGACATACAACCTGATGTTTTGAAACATCGTATACATTGTAGAATGGCTAAATTGAGCTAAAATTAACATATATTACCTCACATACTTATAATTTTGTTTGTGGTGAGGACACTTAAATCCACTCTTTTAGTGATTTTCGAGTATTTAGTGCATTGTTAACTGTAGTCACCAGGTCAGATATAAAATTTATGTTGAAAACATCTCTATATTGACTGTAATAATTTGTCACAATATATTTGTTTCTAAAAACTTAAGGTAGAATTTTTTTGCTGTGGAAAAAAGAAAGCATTATTTTAAAAATGAAAGCTATTCTGTCTTTTAAAGCTAAATCAAAATATTCCGAAGATCTTATAGTGGCACAATGTTTTCCCACAGTGTCAAATTCAATTGTAAATTTCATATTCTGTATATATTGTATAATGTATTAAAGCTAATCAGGACTTAACTCTTCTTGTAAGTTCTTATATAACTAAGTTCTAGCCCATCAGTTAGTTCTCTTTCTTTATGTAATTTTAAAATTTTATTTCCTTGTAAGTGTTTGGTCAAGTACCTTTTTAAGTAATCAGCTTTCATTTTGTTTTAAATTTACTAGCTTTAAGGAAGAATTTCTTAAGGTGTATGTCATATGTTACCTTTAGTTTCTTTTCCCCCTTCTGAAGAAATTTGTAAGATAATGAAGTCAGAAGAGCAAATAAATTAGAAATCTTGATCATAAAACATAATTACAATTTTAGAAGGTGTCAAAATTTTTGTTTTCTAAAATTTTGATCTTATTGCTTATCTATTCAAATTGAATTTTGAAGCCTATTCTTGATTAATTAGCTTTCTTTTCCCTCAAGAGTTATTGATTCTTATTTTAGGACTTGTTTAATAATACATCATGTCATGGTACACATCTATGGGCAGTTTACTTATTTTTTTTGTTTTGAGGGACCAGTCATTTAGCTTCACATGCTGAAAAAGTAGAATATATAGATAACTATGCTCTTTAAGCTCCTTTGGTCCAGTTTCAAAATTCACTCTCTCAAAAAATTATTAAATTGGACTCTTACCCTGATTCTGTAACAGTGGAAACAGTAGGAGGATGGAGGGATAGAAACGCTGTTACCGTGTTTAATGTAATTCAAGAGAACAATTTCTTACACCATAAATGTGGTAAAGTCTCAAGTTTTAAAATCCAAATATGACTGAACTGTGGAAACTGAATTATGTTGTAGGTTATTACATTATAGCTTAAGTTTATTGTGTCTTTACTGGTTAGCAATATGTGAATTGTTTTCTTTGGATTATCTTATTTAAACACTTTCACAAGAACGTTGTGATACAGATGCTATTGTTATATGTTACTGAAGAGGAAATGGAAGTATAAAGTGGGTAGGTAACTAGTCCAAGATCTCATTCATTTGAAGAGATTTGAATGTAGACACTGAACCAGAGGCTATGCTCTTATCACAACTCTAGGAAAATGCTATTTTACATTTTGAAGTTAACATGGAAAAGTGAAGATACGTCAATCTCATCTGATTGTTAAAGGATATATTTTTCTTTCTGTTTGACAAACTGTTCCCTAAAGTCTTTTTTATTTTATTTCAGTGACACAGATTCTCATGTATCCAGTTCTACCTCAGTTCGATTTTATCCACATGATGTGGTAGGTTTATCCTTTTTACAAGGTGATGTGTTTTCAGATTAAATCTGAAATATGTATTTATATAGATAGCTATAAAAGCCATAAAAATTGATGAAGTTACAAAAAAAATTTTTGCAAACTATGGTAAAATCACCTTTGCTGTCTTTGTCCTCCAGTGGCTACCTTTTTCTAAGTCCTTTAATAAGAAACAAAAGTACAAGGTTAAGAAGCCCTGGGATAGAATATTTTAAAAGTTATTTTGGAAAGTATTTGTCAATGCTTAGAGATAGAAATGGCTGTGTTATATATAGAAAGTAAATTTTCCCAACTGTACCCAGATATGTGTTTGAAAAGTAAAACCCTCCCTACTTTTTGGCTATAGTGTATCCCTGGAAACTCCATAGGAAAACAAACATGGGAAGATGATTGTTTTATTGTTTCCTACTTTTAAATGATAGGGGAGCCTTGAGGTAGCGAAATGCTGCCTAGTACTGTGCCAGATACAGTTAACTTTTGATGCTTTCAGGGAAAAAGGAAACTTGTAAACTCGTGCATGGATGAGTTGAAGTTAAAAGAAATGTAGTATAGTAATTTCTTATGTAGCCTTAAGTGAGCAGCCTACCAAAACAAACAAACAAAAAACCACAAAAAAACAGGGGCAAGGGATTTGGAAATATAGTTAACAACAATTATAAGAGACTATGGGAAGAAATAAAGTTGCTGCCATCAGCACCAGTGCAGTGGAGCTAAGATTTGACACTGATAATGAGGTTCAAAACTTAAGGAGAAAAGATTATAAATACGACAGGGAGAAGAGAAGCCACTAATGATTCACAATAAGTGGTTTTAATGGATTCGCTAGCTATACAGTTAATAAAATCTTAAGATTTTTTCTAGCATTCTCTGAGAAAATCTTAAGATTTTAAATACTTTTCTAGTCAATGATTCACAAAAGGTTTATTGATTAATTTATTTTTAGTTCACTTCCTATTGTCACCTTCTATGGTTTCTGGTAATCATATTCATAAAGGGTAGCCTGGGCACAGTGGTTCATACTTGTAATCCTAGCACTTTGGGAGGCTGAGGCAGATGGATCACGAAGTCAGTAGTTCAAGACCAGCGTGGCCAAGATGGGAAACCCTGTCTCTATTTAAAATACAAAAAAAAATTAGCCGAGTATGGTGGCAGGCACCTGAAATCCCAGCTACTTGGGAGGCTGAGGCAGAGAATGAATTGGTTGATCCCGGGAGGCAGAGCTTACAGTGAGCCGAGATTGTGCCACTGCACTCCATCATGGGTGACAGAGCAAGACTCCGTCTCCAAAAAAAAAAGAGTGTACTAGAGAAGAAAATTAAGAGGCTTAGATAACTGATAAGCTAATTGAGTAACTCTTGAATCTTGAAGATTTTTTTTTGAATAAACATATTTAATAAATATCAAAGATATTTTAAGCCTTTCAATGCTGACTTTCTTTTAGCTCTCTCTCCCACAGATTCGATTGAATAGACTATTGACCATTGATACAGATTTGTTGGAGCAACAGGACATTGATCTAAGCCCTGACTTGGCAGCTACTTACGGCCCAACAGAAGAAGCTGCCCAAAAGGTTAAACACTATTATCGTTTTTGGATCCTACCCCAGCTGTGGATTGGCATTAACTTTGACAGACTCACACTTTTGGCCCTGTTTGATAGGTGAGGTTATGTTATGATATTAACGATATGTGTAGATTTTAAGTTGAAGTGTCCTTAATTACCCACTGAGGTTTTTAACTGGTTATCATATTGGGAAATGTTTTCTGTTTTTGTCCTCTTGAGATAAAACTTAAGGTAATAGGGCTTCTAAACATTGCTATTTTAAATCCATTAAAATGTTTTTGTTGCAATTTTAGTACTTTATACAAAGAAATTATTTTTGATATCAGTGAGACTCATACAACTGCTACTCAAAAGCCAAAGAATATGAGATGTTAATGATCTTAAGGTTATAGGTAATACAATCAAAAATACTATATAACAGTTATAAGAGGAAGATTCTGTTTCTCTGTTTCTTAACACTACTATATTAATGGCAAACACATGAGTCTACTGTATTACAAACTTGGTGACCAACAGCTCCTTCCAGTCAACATGAAGTAATAGGACTGGACTTATGTCCCATGTGAAACAACCAAAAATACACAAAGTACATGAAACAGTGGTTTTCAAGACATTGGAGATGAGAAAGAAAAGGACAGTGATCCCTCAGAGATGACAAAAAGTAACATGAACCCTACAATTGCCCCAGCTTAACGCTTTGAGAGAGTTTCTAGGCTGCAAGACAGGAAGGGAGAACTGAAATAGAGTCCAGCCGACTTCCTGAGTTAAGGAGGTAGAGCTAAGAGTCCAGGGAGACTATGGCAGTTAGAGCCCATAGGACAGACTGTCAGAGAGGAGAGAGCTGCTTAGAGAGAGAACCTTAGAGATCTACATTGAGTCACCTTGACTGTTTGACAGAGTATGGATAAGTTCCTATATGCGAGGAAACTGTCTGAGGCCAGGGAAAGAGCCATGTGAAAAGGAATAGAGGAACAGTTCCTGGCAATCACACAGCACTGGGAATAGTACATTTCCCTACCAGCCAGATTGGAGATGTTTATGATTCATACTTTTTGGTGCCTTGTGTAGAATACTCAGGAAGATCTTTGAAAGTGGGGAATAATTAGCCCTAGCAGGAGCACTACCTCAGACCCACCTAACAAGCCATAAAACACAGACCTGAAGGGATCAAACTGTTTCCAAGTAACATAAAGTCTAAGAAGATTTATGGAAATCCAGAAATACGCAGCACCCAACAAGTTAAGATTCACCATGTCTAGCATTCAGTCAGAGATGACCAGATGTGCAAAGAAGTGAGAAAACATGACAAGAATAATAAATCAGTTGAGACCAAACTGTAGCTTGCATAGATATTAGAATTAGCAGACAAGAACAATAAAAACAGTTACAACTGCTTTCCAAATGTTTAAAAAGTTAACTACAAAAAAAAAATAAAGAAAAATATAAAAAGTTAACATAGAAGATACTTTCAAAAGTCCCAAATCAAACTTACAGAGTTGAAAACCATAATCCCTGAGATTAAAAATATACTGGATGTGATCAATGGTAGATTGAACCTTGTAGAAGAAAAGATCAGTGAACGCGAAGACATAGCAGTGGAAACTATCCAGAATGAAACAGAAAGAAGAGTCTTCTCCCCGCTGTCCCCAGTGAAAAGAGTATAAAAGCAAAATGAGAGAAAGCTGTGGGACAACTACAGGAGGAAATAAGGAGACAAAAGATTTTGAAGAAATAAGGGTGGAGATCTTTACAAATTTGATGAAAACTATGAACACATTCAAGAAGCCCAGTGAACCTTAAGCATAAAGTACTTGAATAAAACTACACCAAGACACACAACTACTCAAAACCAGTGATAAGATTTTTTTAAATTGCAAGAGAAAAAAAGAGGAGCAAGGAAGACATCCTTTTTATTGTTGGAAATAATGGAATGAAAAGACATTAGAGGAGCACCTTTAAAGCATTGAAAAGAAAAAAACCCTGTCAACGTACAATTCTATACATAGCAAAAATATCTTTTAAAAACCAAAGTGAAATAAAGACGTTTTCAGATCAGAAAAAATGGGAAGAATTCTTTATGAGCAGATCCATACTACAAAAAATGTTGAAAGATGTCTTTCAGGCAGAAGGAAAGTTATCTCAGATGGAAATACAAGTCTACCCAAAGGAACAAAGATAAATGGAAATGGTAAGTCACTACATGGATAAATATAAAAGATTTTTTCTTATTGATTAAATCTCTTTAAGAGTTAACTGACTGTTTAAACGAAAATAATGCTTTGTGTGGTTTATAACATGTAAAAGTAAAATTTATGATAATAGCACAAAGGCAGAGAAGGGACAAATAAAAGCATACTATTGTAAGTTTCTTACATGAAGTGATATAGCATTGAAGGTAGACTGTCATAAATGTGTATTGTAGATATTGAAGGTAGACTGTCATAAATGTGTATTATAAACCCTGGGCTGCACACAGTGGCTTATACCTGTAATCCCAGCTCTTTGGGAAGCTGAGGCAGGAGGATCACTTGTGAGCCCAGGAGTTTGAGGCCAGCCTTGGCAACCTAGTGAGACCCTGTCTCTACAAACATATTTTTAAAAATTCTTACCAAAACCTACCCTAAGGCAACCATTAAAATAACAAAAGACTTGTAGCTAATATGTCAAAATGCGATAAGATGGATTATAAAAATTACTCTGTTAATCAATAAAATGGAAAAAGATCAAAGAACAGATGAGACAAATAGGAAACAAATGACTTGGCAGATTAGATAAAAAAGAACAAGACTCAACTCCAGGCTGCCTACAAGGAATGTACTTTAACTGTAAAAACAGAGGCTAGTGTGGTGGCTTATGCCTATAATCCCAGCACTTTGGGAGACAGAGGTGGGAGGATCTCTTGAGGCCCAGTTTTCAAAACCAGCCTGGGCAGCATAGACCCAGTTTCTTCCAAAACAAAATACAAACAAATAGGTTAAAAGATGGAGAAACTATACCATGCTACTGTTAACGAAAGGCTTATTGTAGTGGCCGTATTAAAGTCAGATAAAGTAGATTTCAGAACAAAGAATATTACCAAGGATGAAGAAGGCCATTTCATAATGATAAAGAGTCAGTCCACAGGATTTAACAGTCCTAAATGTTTGTATACCTAAAAACAGAGCTTTGGAATTTATAAAGCAAAAGCTAATAGAAGTAGAGAAATGGACAAATCACAGTTATAGGTGATTTCAGCACTTCTTTTTAAATAATTGATAGACTATTTAGAAAATCAGTGAGGATATGTAGTGAACTTTAACAGTATTATCAACCAACATAAATTAGTTGACATTTACAGAACACTGCACCCATAACAAGAGAATATACATTTTCCTAACTGCTCACAGAACATGTACTAAGATAGATCATATTTTTAGCCATAATACAAGAGTCAGTAAATTTTAAAAGATCCACTGTCCAATCGTACGTAGTGGGATTAAATGGTAAATTAAAGCAAATAGAACCTTGGAAAATCCCCAAATATTTGGAAACTAAATAACACTTCTAATTAACCCATAGATTAGAGAAGATATCAAGAGAGAAATTAGTAGATGCCACTGACCTGCAGTGCTTAGGAAAATGTATAGCACTAAACACCTAGATTAGAAAAGAAAGGTCTCAAATCAATGACTTAACCTTCCACTTACTAGAACAAGAGCACATAAGCCCAACTAAACAAAAGAAACATAGTAGTAAGGAACAAAACAATTCAGTGAGGACACAGAGAAACAATAAAGAAAATCAAGGAAATGAAAAGTTTGAGGACATCGATTGATAAACCTTTAGCCTGCCTGACCAGAAAAAAAAAGAAGAGGAAAGACATAGATTACCAATATGAAGAATGTGAGTTATCACTACAGACTGTACAGGTATTAAAAGGATAGTTAGAGAATGATATGAGCAGCTATATGCAAATAAATTCAGCATTGGATAAACGAACAAATTTCTCGAAAGACAAGTTATGAAATTCCGTTCTGAAAGAAGTACATGACCTTAATTGTCTTACATGTATTAAGTAAGTGGAAATTGTAGTTTAGAAACTATACCACAAAGAAAACTCTAGGCCCAGGTGGCATCAAAATAATATTCAGATGAATGAAATGGAGAAAGGATAGCCTTTTCAACAAATGGTGGTGGAACAATTGGATTTACATATGTAGAAAAATAGAGATGGACGCAGAGGTGTGTGCTTAGGAGGCTGAGGTGAGAGGATTGTTTGAGACCAGCCTGGGCAACATAGCAAAACCTCATCTCAAGCACATAAAAACAAGGAACTTGTAGCCTTACCTCATACCACATTATGAAAATGTATCATAGGCTTAAATGTGAAACCTAAAACAAAACTTCTAGGAAAATAAAACTGGAGAAAATTTTTATGAACTTGGATTAGACAAAATTACTTAGTTATGACACCAAAAACAAGATCAATAAAATAAAATTGATACATGGGACTCATCAAAATTGAAAATTTTTAAAAAGCTAAAGACAAGACATGTTCAATGACAAGGGAGGCACTATTCAGGCAGGCCAAGGATTGAAAAGAGGTCATTGGATTTAGCAAATCTGAAATTGCATAACTATCACCTAAAATCAAATAGAAATGCCAGTAACGTATTGATTTGGAAATACTATTGAACTTTTTTATCTGGTAGAACCATTAAAGGAAATAGTACAAAGATGTTTATGAATTTAATTTTTATGCCCAATTGATTGTGATAAATATGGAATTGGGTTAATAAAAAAATTTTTTTAATGATTATAAAAGCAATTCCTTATTGTAGAAAATTTAAATATGTACAAAGTTTTGAAGACAGAGGCAAACCGTAATTCTTCCGTGGAAAGAAGCATCATTAGTAATGCTATTTTTGATATGTTGTCCTTTTTAACCTATATGTTTAATTTTTTAATAGCAGAACTTATATCCTTCTATGCTCATGGTTTTTTGTGCTGCTTTCTTTATGTAGCAGATGTGCTGAGCATTTTTTCATTTTTTAATAGTTTTTAAAAATATGACTTAAAAGTATTTTAGAGAAATACTAAAGGATGTATTTGTATAACATTTTGTGAATAAAATTTTCCCAAGAAGTAATGAGATAGGTTCTTGTGTGTGTATGACATAAAAATAATCTACATTTATACAGATATATATACACATTTATATATATGTAAATCTTGAGCATCATATTGTTTCTCTTACAATGTCAGTTTAATAAAGTATAGAATTAGCAACTTTGATAGAAGCAGATAGAGGTTTTTGTCCCTACCTTTATTCTCAAGATATGTAACAGCCCATATTTAAGTAATTATAATAAGTGAGTTTCTATTTCTTTCAGATGATTCAGAGATGAGGGAAGTGAAATCACTTAGTGCCAGAATTTTGCTACAACTTTGTCATATAACAAATGTTTTAAATTTAATTTTCTAGAAACTATTTTGAGATTTTGTTTTTTAAACATAACTTGATTCTTTGTATGCATATTTTATTTGCCATCCAAGTTGGTTAGCTCTTTGCAACCAATGAAACAGAAAAGCGGATATTAAGGAGAGTAATATTTTTAAAATAGCAATTAAAACTATGTTATATAATTGGAACTCCACAATTCACTGTATCATGTTTTATTTGTATTTAAGAATTCATGTTATGTCCATATGAAACTAGTTTGTTTCAAGTATGATCTAAAACCTTGTTCAAACTCAGTACCAGAAAGACATCTCAGCATATTATGAACTTCATATTTATGTCTTCCCTTCCCTTTTTAGCATTCAGTTAATTTCTTATATTTATGATATACTTACTCATAAGTTTTTCTATCTGTAGAAATCGTGAGATTCTGGAAAATGTGTTAGCTGTCATCCTGGCTATTCTCGTGGCTTTTTTGGGATCTATTCTTCTCATACAAGGCTTCTTCAGAGATATCTGGGTCTTCCAGTTCTGCCTGGTCATAGCCAGTTGTCAATACTCACTACTTAAGGTACCAGCATCTGTTCTTTTCATGCTATGGAATTACATTTGTGTTAAAGGCAGAAGATTTTGTAATTTGCTGAATTAGAGTAAGATAGTTAGAGTAAGGCAGAAGATTTTATAATTTACTGAATTAGAGTAAGATAATTATTTTTAGGCTTATATTTCTTGGATGTTTACATAAGATTGTATAGAGAACAAAGGGGGGATATAAATCTTAAAAATAAATTAAGATTATGTTTTAATATGTAAATTTATGGAAGTTCTAATTATGTAAATTAGAACTTCCTAAAAACTATTTTTTTGTATTAAAAGAAAACTGTATTTGTTAAAATAAGAATTTGCTTTTTTTTTTTTTTTAACAGTAGTAGATATTATTTTTTATTGTACTTTAAGTTCTGGGTTATATGTTCAGAATGTGCAGGTTTGTTGTACATAGGTATACACGTGCCATGGTGCACCTATCAACCTGTCATCTACATTAGATATTTCTCCTAACGTTATCCTTTCCCTAGTACCTCTCCCCTTGACAGGCCCTGGTGTGTGATGTTCCCCTCCTTGTGTCCATGTGTTCTCACTGTTCAACACCCACTTAAGAGTGAGAATATGCAGTGCTTGTTTTTCTGTTCCTGTGTTAGTTTGCTGAGAATGATAGTTTCCAGCTTCATCCATGTCCCCGCAAAGGACATGAACTCATCCATTTTTATAGCTGCATAGTATTCCATGGTGTATTTGTGGCACATTTTCTTTATCCAGCCTATATTGATGGGCATTTGGGTTGGTTCCAAGTCTTTGTTATTGTGAGCAGTGCTGCAGTATACATACATGTGCATGTGTCTTTACAGTAGAATGATTTATAATCCTTTGGGTATATACCCAGTAATGGGATTGCTGGGTCAAGTGGTATTTCTAGTTCTAGATCCTTGAGAAATCGCCACACTGTCTTCCACAATGGTTGAACTAATTTATGCTCCCAACAATTGTGTAAAAACATTCCTATTTCTCCACATCCTCTCTAATATCTGTTGTTTCCTGACTTTTTAATGATCACCATGCTAATTGACAGGAGATGGTATCTCATTGTAGTTTTGATTTGCATTTCTCTAATGACCAGGGATGATGAGCTTTTTTTCATATGTTTGTTGGCTACATAAATGTCTTCTTTTGAGAAGTGTCTGTTCATATCCTTTGCCCACTTTTTGATGGAGTTGTTTGTTTTTTTCTTTTAAATTTGTTTAGATTCCTTGTAGATTCTAGATATTAGCCCTTTGTCAGATGGGTAGATTGCAAAAATTTTCTCCTATTCTGTAGGTTGCCTGTTCACTCTCATGATAGTTTTGCTGTACAGAAGCTCTTTAGTTTAATTAGATCTCATTTTTCAATATTGGCTTTTGTTGCCATTGCTTTTGGTATTTAGTCATGAAGTTTTTGCTCATGCCTATGTCCTGAATGGTATTGCCTAGGTTTGCTTCTATGGTTTTTATGGTGTTAGAGCTTGCATTTGTGTCTTTAATCCATCTGGAGTTAATTTTTGTATAAGGTGTAAGGAAGGGGTCCAGTTTTAGTTTTCTGCACATGGCTAGCCGGTTTTCCTAACACCATTTATTAAATAGGGAATTATTTTCCCATTGCTTATTTTTGTCAGGGTTGTCAAAGATCAGATGAGTGTAGATGTGGCATAATTTCTGAGGCCTCTGTTCTGTTCCATTGGTCTATAAATCTGTTTTGGTCCCAGTACCGTGCTGGTTTGGTTACTGTAGCCTTATAGTATAGTTTGAAGTCAGTTAGCATGATGCCATCATCTTTGTTCTTTTTGCTTAGGATTGCCTTGGTTATACAGGCTCTTTTTTGGTTCCATATGAAATTTAAAGTAGTTTTTTCTAATTCTGTGAAGAAAGCCAATGGCATCTTGATGAGGATAGCATTGAATCTATAAATTACTTTGGGCAGTAGGGCCATTTTCACAATATTGATTATTCCCATCCATGAATATGGAATGTTTTTCCATTTGTTTGTGTCCTCTCTTATTTCCTTGAGCAGTGGTTTGTAGTTGTCCTTGAAGAGTTCCCTCACTTCCATTGTAAGTTATATTCCTAGATATTTTATTCTGTTTGTAGCATTTGCAAATCGGAGTTCACTCATAATTTTGTTCTCTGTTTGTCTGTTCCTGGTGTATAGGAATGCTTGTGATTTTTGCACATTGATTTTGTATACTGAGACTTTGCTGAAGGTTGCTTATCAGCTTAAGGAGATTTTGGGCTGAGACGATAAGTTTTTCTAAATATACAATGATGTCATCTACAAACTGAGACGATTTGACTTCCTCTCTTCCTATTTGAATACCCTTTGTTTCTTTCTCTTGCCTGAGTATCCTGGCCAGAACTTCCAATACTGTGTTGAATAGGAGTGGTGAGTGAGGGTATCCTTGTCTTGTGCTGGTTTTCAAAGGGAATGCTTCCAGCTTTTGCCCATTCAGTATGATACTGGGTATCGGTTTGTCATAAATAACTCTTATTATTTTGAGATACGTTCCATCAATCCCTAGTTTCTTGAGAGTTTTTAGCATGAAGGGGTATTGAATTTTATTGAAGGCCTTTTCTGCATCTATTGAGATAATCATATAGTTTTGTTATTGGTTCTGTTTATGTGATGGACTGCATTTATTGATTTACATGTGTTGAACCAGCCTTGCATCCCGGGATGAAGCTGACTTGATCATGGTGGATAAGCTTTTTGATGAGTTGCTATATTCGGTTTGCCACTATTTTATTGAGGATTTTCACATTGATGTTCTTCAGGGATATTGGCCTGAAATTTCCTTTTTTTGTTGTTTCTCTGCCAGGTTTTGATATCAGGATGATGCTGGCCTCATAAAATGAGTTAGGGAGGACTCCCTCTTTTTGTATAGTTTGGAATACTTTCAGAAGGTATGGTACCAGCTCCTCTTTGTACTTCTGGTAGAATTTGGCTGTGAATCCATCTGGTCCTGGGCTTTTTTTTTTTTGGTTGGTAGGCTATTAATTACTGCCTCAATTTCAGAACTTGTTATTGGTCTTTTCAGGGATTTGACTTCTTCATGGTTTAGTCTTGGAAGGGTTTATGTGTCCAGGAATTTATGCTTTATTTCTTCTAGGTTTTCAAGTTTATTTGCATAGAGGTGTTTATAGTATTTTCTGTTGGTATAGTATTTTTTGTTGGTTGGTACGCTATTAATTACTGCCTCAATTTCAGAACTTGTTATTGGTCTATTCAGAGATTCAGTTTCTTTCTGATTTATTCTTGGGAGGGTGTATATGTCCAGGAATTTATCCATTTCTTATAGGTTTTCTAGTTTATTTGTGTAGAGGTGTTTATAGTATTCTTTAGTTTATTTGTGTAGAGGTATTTATAGTATTTTCTAGTTTTTGTGTAGAGGTGTTTATAGTATTCTCTGATGGTGAAATCCCCTTTATCATTTTTTATTTGTATCTATTTGATTCTTCTCTCTTTTCTTCTTTATTAGTCTGGCTAGTGGTCTATATATTTTAACGTTTTCAAAAAACCAGCCCTGGGATTCATTGCTTTTTTTTCTTTTTTGTAAGGTGTATTGTGTATCTCCTTCAGTTCTGCTGTGATTTTAGTTATTTCTTATCTTCTGCTAGCTTTTGAATTTGTTTGCTCTTGCTTCTCTAGTTCTATTAATTGTGATGTTAGGGTGTCGATTTTAGATCTTTTCCGCTTTCTCCTGTGGACATTAAGTGCTATAAATTTCCCTCTAAACACTGCTTTAGCGGTGTCCCAGAGATTCTGGTACATTGTGTCTTTGTTCTCATTGTTTTCAAGGAACTTATTTATTTCTGCCGTTACTTTGTTATTTACCTAGTAGTCATTCAGGGGCAGGTTGTTGAGTTTCCATGTAGTTGTGCAGTTTTGACTGAGTTTCCTAATCCTGAGTTCTAATTTGATTGCACTGTGGTCTGAGAGACTGTTTGTTATGATTTCCATTCTTTTGCATTTGCTGAGGAGTGCCTCACTTCCAATTATGTGGTTAATTTCAGAATAAGTGCTATGTGGTGCTGAGAAGAATGTATATTCTGATGATTTGGGGTGGAGAGTTCTGTAGATGTCTATTAGGTCTACTTGGTCCAGATCTGAGTTCAAGTCCTGAATGTTCTTCTTACTTTTCTGTCTTGTTGATCTAATATTGACAGTAGGGTGTTAAAGTCTCCCACTATGATTGTGTGGGAGTCTGAGTCTTTTTGCAGGTCTCTAATAACTTGATTATAAATCTGAGTGCTCCTGCATTGGGTGCATATATATTTAGGTTAGTTAGCTCTTCTTGTTGTATTGATCCCTTTACCATTATGTAATGCTCTTCTTTGTCTTTTTTGATTTTGTTGGTTTAAAGTCTGTTTTATCAGAGACTAGGATTGCACCCCCTGTTTTTTTTGCTTTCCATTTGCTTGAGAAATATTCCTGCATCCCTTTATTTTGAGCCTATGTGTGTCTTTGCACATGAGATGGATCTTCTGAATACAGCACACCAATGGTTCTTGACGCTTTATCCAATTTGCCAGTCTGTGTCTTTTATTTGGCGCATTAAGCCTGTTTATATTTAAGGTTAATATTGCTATGTGTGAATTTGATCCTGTTATTATGCTAGCTGGTTATTTTGCCCATTAGTTGCTGTAGTTTCTTCATAGTGTCGATGGTCTTTACAATTTTGTATGTTTTTGCAGTGGCTGCTATTGGTTTATTCTTTCCATATTTAGTGCTTCTTTTAGGAGCTCTTGTAAGGCAGGTCTGGTGGTGACAAAACCTTTCAGCATTTGCTTGTCTGTAAAGGATTTTATTTCTCCTTCACTTAGGAAGCTTAGTTTGGCTGGATATGCAATTGTGGATTGAAAATTCTTTTCTTTAAAGATGTTGAATATTGGCCCCACTCTCTTCTGGCTTGTAGAGTTATTGCAGAGAGATCTGCTATTAGTCTGAAGGGCTTACCTTTGTGGGTAACCTGTGTGTGCTTCACAAAGTTCTTGTGCTATGTTTTTCAGCTTCATCAGGTCATTTATGTTCTTCTCTAAACTGGTTATTATAGTTAGCAATTCCTTTAACCTTTTTTCAAAGTTCTTAACTTCCTTGCACTGGGTTAGAACATGCTCCTGTAGCTTGGAGGAGTTTGTTATTACCACCTTCTAAAGCCTACTTCTGTCAATTTGTCAAATTTGTTCTCTGTCCAGTTTTGTTCCCTTGTTGGCGAGGAGTTGTGATCCGTTGGAGAAGAGGAGGTGTCCTGGTTTTTGGAATTTTCAGCCTTTTTGCACAGGTTTTTCCTCATCTTCATGGAATTATCTACCTTTGGTCTTTGATGTTGGTGTCTTTCTGATAGGGTTTCTGTGTGTACGTCCTTTTTGTTGATGTTGATGATATTGCTTTATGTTTGTTTGTCTGTTTTCCTTTTTACAGTTGGTCCCCTCTGCTGCAGGTCTGCTAGAGTTTGCTGGAGGTCCACTCCAGACCCTATTTGCCTGGGTATCACCAGTGGAGGCCGCAGAACAGCAAAGATTGCTGCCTGTTCCTTCCTCTGGAAGCTTTGTCCCAGAGAGGCACCCGCCAGATGCCAACCAGATCTCTCCTGTATGAGGTGTCTGTCAACCGCTGCTCAGAGGTGTCTCTGAGTCAGGAGGCACGGCAGTCAGGCACCCACTTGAGGCAGTCTGTCCCTTTGTAGAGCTCAATCACTGTGCTAGGCAATCCACTGCCCTCTTCAGAGCCAGCCAGCAGGAACGTTTAAATCTGCTGAAGCTGCGCCTGCAGCTCTCCCTTCCCCCAGGTACTCTGTCTCAGGGAGGTGGGAGTTTTATTGATAAGCCACTGACTGGAGCTGCCTTTCTTTCAGAGATGCCCTACCCAGAGAGGAGGGAATCTAGAAAGGCAGTCTGGCTACAGCAGATTTAGGGAGCTGCAGTGGGCTCCGCCCAGTTCGACCTTTCTAATGGCTTTGTTTGCACTGTGAAGGGGAAACTGCCTACTCAAGCTTCAGTAATGGTAGATGCATCTCCCGCCACCAAGCTCGAGTGTCCCTCGTCGACTTCAGACTGCTGTGCTAGCAACGAGAATTTCAAGCCAGTGGATCTTAGCTTGCTGGGCTCCATGGGATCCACTGAGCTAGACCACTTGGCTTCCTGGCTTCAGCCCCCTTTTTAGGGGAGTGAATGGTTCTGTCTCAACTGGTGTTCCAGGCACCACTGGGGTATGAAAAAAAACTCCTGCAGCTAGCTCAGGAGTTTCTTGAACTTTTCAGATGACTCATTTTGTTGTTGTTGTTGATGTCTCTTTGTTCTTTCGACTACTTAATTTATGAGAATTCCCTAGGATTTTATGTGATTGCCTTCTTGGTTTACAGTTCCTTGCCAGTGAAGTCATCCTCATTTGTTACTTTATTTGTTGTCTTCATATATGAGTCATGTCCAGATTTATATCTCAGAGTCTTCACCTCTTTTGCCAGCTTTAGTCCTATAAATCTAACAGACATTTTAAAAGTAGCAAATTGATCAACTTCTGGTTAATATTTCTTTCCCAATTTCTTAGCTTTAGGCAGTGATATACCAGCTAAAAGTCTTAGAGTCTCTGCTCCTTCCTCCTTGTTCCCTAATAACAAGTAATCCAGTCCCTTTGATGACATTTAATGATTCTGTGTTTAAATTACTGGTTGTTGTTCTTGTACTATACCTTTAGTGTCTTAAATCATTTAAATTCATTTTTTGGCTCTAGTGTCTCTGTTGTCCAATTAATTTTGTCCACTGCTTTCAGGTTAATGTGGTTAAATATGGAAAAGGTTAAAGGTGACAGATTTTTGTAACTAGAGGCCTAGAAGAAGAATAATGTCATAAACAGGAATAAGAAAGACAAGAACAGAAGCTTTTAGAGGATAGGTGTTGTGATTAAAAGACTTTAAAGATTATCTGGACTCAGATCTGGCCAAGGGCCAAATGCCAAACTCAATGAGCTCGATCCAGTGTCGAATGGTAGGCTGGTGCTAGACCATCCTAGTGAAATTGTAAGGTATGCCACTGGAAATGAACTGAAACTTGGGAGAAAAGTCATGACTAGGGAAGTAGCGGCATAATACCTTCTGAACATTTTTATGAGAAGTCAGTAAAGTCTCTTAAAAGGATACAGCTTAACTTACTTGATTATTTTGATATGAAAATGCAAATAATATATTTATTACAAATACCATTGAATTACTTAGTAAGCTTGGACTTTATGGGAAGACCTAGAATTCTTGTTATAAGCTAACCACTGTTATTGTATATTTCCTGAATGGAATGATGTCCTGTGAGAAATACTATACTTGTATATAGTATACCTTAACTATACTTGTACATAGCAATAAGCCAAACAGTAAGATGGACCTGTCTATGATATGTTATTGCAGAAACTTTAAGATAGTTACAAATAAATAAATAATAAATAATCTTTTTTTTTTTTTACTCTTGTCAGGAAAGAGTTTTGAGATGTTTTTAATATTACAGTGACACTGGTATCTGAAGCTGATATTTCATCTCTGGAACAGAATTATTAATATAGGTCATTTTGTGGTTATGGAATATTTACTTAAAATCATTTCAGGCATTTTGAAAGTTGATTATAAGATTAGCAGGACTTCAGGAGTGTAATTTGTCTTTCTGTTTCATTTTTAGAGTGTTCAACCAGATTCTTCTTCTCCCAGACATGTAAGTCACTTTAATATGACTGTGCATTGTAGTTCCTTAATATTTATCAAAGTGTTTGTGGTTTGTTTTTTGTTTGTTTTGTTTTGTTTGGAATGCATCAGACTGAACTAAAATTTATGTTTTATTTTCCTCATTTATGTTTTGACACACCACTAGAAATACAGGTGTTTTGTTTGCTTGAAATAAAATGACACTGTACTTGTGGACTCTAAATCTTGGTTGAAATTGAGCATAATAATTCATTTTTTGACAGCCTGTTTTAGGGAGTAGACATGGTTCTTATAATCACATGATTATTTGTGTTTAATAATTTTGAATAATAGCTTATGAATAGGTATTATTATTTCAGTTGAGTAACCATTAGGAGTAAGAATAAAGAAATAATATATTAGTCTGGTGTTAAGGCCATTGACTAAAAACTGTTACTCACTTTGTGACTAGACAAAAATATCTGCCTAGCAGTAATTATTGTGAAGTGTGATTCATTTTAGATCTAAATTGAGTATTTAATAGAACAAAGGATATTCTGCTTAGTAGTTCAAAAATAGACTTCAAGAATAGTTTATGATTTTTTTCCTTGAATATAATTTTTTTAATCCATTCACTGGAATAATGAATAATGAGAATGGATGAGCAAAATGAAACAAGGAGGCAAGTGTGGGTTTTATTTTTTGACTGATTATGTTTACTATTTTGTAAGAATATTTTTGAAGTATAATGATATATGGAAACATTGCTTTTTAACTTTTTATTTTGATGTTATTTCAAACTTGAAGTTGCAAGGGTAGTACAAAGAACTTCAAATGCAATTCATCCAGATCCCCGTGTTAACATTTACCATATTTGCTTAATCCCTTTCTAGCATGTGATTTTTTTTCTTGTTTCTCTCTTCTAGCTGACATGATGCCCCTTTACCTCTAAATGTCTCAGTGTATGTTTCTTAGAAACAAAATATATTAATTCAATATCATTATCAAAATTAGAACATTAACACTGATCTGCTGTCTTCTAATGTACAGATCTTATTCAGGTTTTGCCCATTGTCTTCATTGACAGTAGAAAGTCCCTGATTATGTTTGGTCTCTTAAATGTCCTTTAATCTGAAGCAATTCTTTAGCAGCTGTCTTTCATGATATTGAAATTTTTGATGGATACAGGCCAGTTATTTTATAGACCATCCCTCAATTTGAGTTTGTCTGATTTTCTTTCTTTAAAAAAATTTAAATTTTTAAAAAATATTTTCACCCTGTCTTATGGTGCTGATGATGTTTCTTTCTGATTTGATAAGGCCATGCTTTTTTTAAATAGGAATACTAGAAAAGTGTGTCATATTAGGAAGCATATATTGTTTTATCCTGTTACTAGTGATGCTAATTTTGATCTTCTGATTAAGGGTATTGTCTGCAGGGTGTCTGAAATCTCTACAGTATTAACATTTTGGCTAGCTAATTCTTTGTGTGAGGGTGGGGGATGCTGTCCATTGCACTGTAGAATATTTAGCATTCTCTATAGTGCTACCCATTAGATGCTGGTGGCACTACTTCCCCAATTGTGACAACAGAAATGTGTAAAGATATTCCCATATGTGCACTGGGGAGCAAAACCCCCTCCCAATTCCTTAAGAACCACTACTTTACTGGAATGTTACTGTTTTTCTCTTGCAGATAATAAATACTTCAAATAAATAAATTAAATAAATACCTCATAGGGAGATGCCTCAAAACTGTATATGTATCCTCCTACTCTGTAAATTTCTATCTAGTAGTTTTAGTGTCTACTGATGTTTCTTGCCTGATTCAGTTATCATTTGATGGTTGCCAAGTGGTGATTTTTCTCATCCCATCATTCCTTCTACATTTATTAGTTGACCTTTTATTAATACTATAAGGAAGAGCTTTCCCTTCTATTTTATATATGTAGGTATGTACTGGTGTGGATACATGGATTATTTTATTCAATGGACTATAATGTTACTAGTAGTATTTATTTTGATGCTCAGATTGTCCCTGATTTAGCCATTGGGAGTCCATCACACTGCTTTCTGTGTCCTTTTGACATATCTCTATCATTCTTTAAGTACTTTCTACCTTTTTGTCACAACAATATGTTCCAGGGTCATCTTATACATTCCCTGTCGTAGCCAGAAACCAGTCTTTTCTCTATGGAGCCCCCCCATCTTTTTTGGTAGGTAATGGTATTTATAAAGTTAGATCTGGTTGCTAGTAATCTTTATTGCTAGAATCTTGTTGCATCTAGGTCCTCTCAGTGGATAAAGCTAGGAAGTGTATGTATGTACATATATACGCACGTATATACATAGGTATTACCTATTCCTTTATCTGTTTGTATGCATATTAAAAATAATGAGACTCTGGGAGCCCAACGTGGGCAGATCACTTAAGTCCAGGAGTTTGAGACCAGCCTGGGCAACATGGTGAAACCCTATCTCTAAAAAAAGTAAACAGGCATGGTGATATGTGCCTGTAGTCCCAGCTACTTGTAAGGCTGAAGTGACAAGATCACTTGAGCTCAGAAGGCTGAGGCTGCCATTAGCTGTGATCACGCCATTGCATTCCAGTCTGGGCAACAGAGTGAGACCTTGTCTCAAAAAAAAAAAAAAAAAAAAAAAAAAAAAAATCACACTGACACTTCTGTTTCAGTCCAGTATCTCAGAGTTCATTCTGTTATTCTTCCTTCTTTCTACATTTGTTAATCCCTTCTGTGACTGTCAGACATCTGGCTTCCATATGGAAAAATTTGGAACCCTTAGAATAAAGCCATCAATGATCTCAGTAGTTGTTTGTGACTTTTAAAATTAACTATAAACTGACTTTTTAAAAATATCATTTTCAGGGTCATAATCGTATCATTGCCTACAGTAGACCAGTTTATTTCTGCTTATGTTGTGGTCTTATTTGGCTCTTGGATTATGGCAGCAGAAACCTGACTGCAACCAAGTTCAAATTATATGGAATAACTTTCACCAATCCACTGGTGTTCATATCAGCCAGGGATTTAGTTATAGGTGAGTCATCTTTAAAGTATCTCTAATCTTAAAATTAATATATTTGTATATCAACATTTTACTGATAAATATATCAATTATACAGCTTAAAATGTTTTTAATAAGCTTATTTTACTCTCTGAGGAACAAAAGTGATAGGACTATTATGAGTGAATAAAGCTAATGATGAGCAAGTATTATAGTAATTATGTTGTTTTTGGAGTAGCTGT